GTTTCACAAATGAACATTTAATAATAGAGATAAAATGGGAAACAAATTAATTGGTGGGGATAAAATTGGAATGTAAAATACTTCAAAAATGAATAGTGCTCGACTGATTGACTCTTTTATTATAGTAGGGATTTAACTCTTCTTATTTCTTAGTACTATTTATAGAAATGAAAAACATTATCTTTGTTAGTACTTTTTATTCAAGTGTTTTACTTATTTTTGGTTTCTGTAAACCCATAAAATTTTGACAATGTGTATAGTTTTACTTCTCCGACCACCTTGGCAAGGCCGGACAAAACTTAATCCAAACTGCTTAACTTGACCAACCAAACCCAAATAGAACGGTATGGATAAGTTTTTAAGTTCAATTGGGTTGGGTTGAAAAATCAAATTTGAAGGTTGGTACCCAACCCCATCCAATAAATTAAAAAAAATTAATATTTAAAATAAAAAAATTAAATAGACACAATGGTCAATGGTGAAGATAAGAGAAAGACTTACAATTTATAAACGACCATTTTTTTTTTTTTTTGCATAAACGGATTGATATGAATACTATGCACAAATGTAAGGTATTTAATGATAAAATAAAAATTAACGACATAATGATGAGATGAATGAATCTCAAAAAATTGTAAAACAAAAAATACTTCACAATTTTAAATTTCTTTATACATTATTTTTCAAAAAGAATTATTTATATAGGTGTTAAAAATAATGAAAGTTTTAAATTTCTTTATACATTATTTTTCAAAAAGAATTATTTATATAGGTGTTAAAAATAATGAAAGTTTTCAAGTAATTTCAAACTTTGAAAAATTATCTAAATTCAACAAAAAGTAATCGAATTCAACTTTTATTGGACCAAAGCCCAAACCGTCCAACCCAAACGGATCCAAACTGGATCGGTTTGGGTTGGGTTTAAACCAATAGTTTGGGTTGTATTGGGTTGGTTTGATTTTAGATTAAACCGATCATGTTAGGTTGGATTGGGAAAAAAAAAGACTCAACTCAACCCAACACAACCCACGCCCATTCCTACACCTTGGCAGTTGGAATGACAGAAATATATAGTACTATTTAACCTTTGTTTGATCCTCATTATTTTCAAATTTTTCTCTATCTTACTTTCAATCACACATTCTTTAATAAGATTATATTACATGCAAATTCAATTTATTTTTTTTATATATATCTACACAATTTTCATTAAAATAATATTTCAAAATACATTGTGGAGAAAAAAAGGGCTCAAACAGGTTTGTTTTGAATCTCACTTTATCAAAAAACTCAATTTATAGGGACTCAAATAGGCCCTCCTTTTCTCCATTTTCATATGCAGAAAGAAAATGCAATTTCTTTTATAGGGTAAATCGATAAAAAGTAAAGGAACCTGCTTTTGGCCAGGGCTACATGAACCCTAGCCATCCAAGGGACGCCACATTGCCCCCCTTGATGGTCGGGCCCATGTGACCTTGACCAAGTAGCTTTTTCCAAAAGTAAACAGGAATATCTATCATCGTTAGTGCTCGAATATTTTGAGTGATTATCGTGAACCAGACTCTTATGTAGAGAAAATACACGTCTTTTGCCACTACCCTTGACTTTTTTAGAGCAAGAATGCGCTCTACTTTCAATAAAGCGAGATCATTTATAGCTAAGTTTTAAAAGAAATATTTTTCCATGCGTCAATGAGTATATTATCTAAACATGTTTGAAAACAAAAAAGTTACTTAAAAAGTAATTCTCTCCTTTTTAAGGTCAGCCGAGTCAGCTGAACAGCCAAATCCTTCAACCAAGTGTTTATGGCATTATAAAGAGGCCCGCGATCCCCCTAGTGGACAAGAAGTTATTATTGTTGTTTAGTCCTAAGCAAATTCTGCTAATTGAGCGGAGTAAAATTATGGCTCAGATACATAAGTTTGAGGTCCAAACTGAGAAAAGATCATCTCGAGAGAGAGTATTCGATATATACAAGAAATGATGCCCAAGATTAGTCGAGACATTGCAAAGTATTGAAGTAATTGAAGGACATGGAATAAGTATGCACTCTCTATAACAATATATTATTAGAATAGACATAAGTTCAGAGTTTGCATCTTGCTGCATATCTCAATAAACGTGCTTCGCAATCAAGCTTAGCCTTTCCACAACATGAGCTCATCAAGTTGATTTTGACTTTCATCAACATATATCCGCGATCAATCTCGAAGTATCATGTTGTTGCCACGTTTCTGGATACAACAAGCACCGCCATCAGGCAATCGTCATCAAAACATTGCTATCAATCCATGACAGAAAGGAAACTTGGGTGTTGGGTTTGCTACACAAGGTATCAAGTTCGGAGAACATTATAAGATACTGAGATATTTGTCAAAGTACACTTTCCTAATAATTCCAAGCACGCCTTAAACCACCAATCTTCATTGAACTTGCAAACTACGCCATGTTACAAAAGGGAATCAAAGTTTAAATGATTAGCATAGAAGAGAATATATTTAGCATATTCTAATCACCCGTCTTACATACTTGCCTTCTAGACACTGGGTTTCTATTAACAAAATATAAATAAATTATCAGCAGGTAGTCAATCAAAAAGGAAATCATAGTTTACAGAACTTCAAGACAACCACAAAATTAAACAACAATTTTCAATTACTAACATATGCTGAGTTGCTTCCCGGTAGGTCTAGATGGAGATAGAAGAATCCTGACTCAACGACCAAATGATATTGACAATAGAACCTATTAATTCAGAAGAAATGACAACACTCAATTGACAAGTGTCTTCTTTGTATCTAATTGATTTCTGGAGATCAAGATATTCAACAACATATCTTTTTCCAACTTCACCACCTCATCCCAGCCGTCCCCACATCACAAACCAGAGTTCTTCCAAAGGACATATTGTAAATATCATATAACCAAAGGACTTAACAAACTGCATCAGCTCGTTTACGATCAAATATGCTACCATCACACAAGAAAAAACATGTATGCCATATGCAAGGAGATCAAGATATATTTAACACTTCACTATACTGATAAAAAGCTTATTAGTAAACAATAATCCTATAACAAAGACAGCATTTTTCATAGCTTTTGCTTTATATCAAACATCTCTGAGTCATATAATGAGAGTCAATACTGTTGCAATGTATAAAACCCAAGGTTTCTGCTTTTGCGAATGATGAATTCAACAAAGAGACGCGAATATAACCAAACAACAAAAGAGAATCTATTTTATTCTAGAGGAAACCTGAAAATGTTTCACATTTATTTGTCATCGTAAATTACAATGACTAAATTCAAATCTCAAATCATACAAGCTAAGCATCATTTAAAACAAAAACCAGGGTCTCAAGTCTAAACATCAAGAACAATAACATTCTGATCTCAACTCAATGAGAAGAAACCTTAAGATTGCGAGATTTATTGAACCAAGCCTTCCAACTTCCTGTTCCCTTCCGAGCCATTGTCACTGACTTCTCATTATCTATAACCTTCTCAGTTTGTGGTTTCTTGCACAGCATGAAATTCCGAACACCAGGCGATCCAATTGTCTCCCAGGGACTGAGACCTACACCCAAAGATAACATAGATGATCAATACTCTCTTCAAATCAAAGTCGAATAGTCAACAGTAAAAAAAAAAAAATTGATATCTATCACATCCAATTGAGGACAACAGACCATGAACGAAAACCAAAAACAGGCTGTTATCAGATTGCAGAATGAAGAAAACATTAGGTATAATAAGTAGAATCAAGTTGCAGTTTTAATTTCAATAAAAATATATATGGAGCATGACAAACAAAAACAGCTGTTATCCATCCTTCAAGAGTTCATTACAGGAAAAAAATAACCACCGGCCTTAATTTAATTTGAATTTATCTAATAGTTAATGGAAAACAAAATTTCCCAAAAAGGGATACATATGGATTACAATTTGCAATTTCTACAAGACTAAAACTCAAATATTGTTTACTAGGTTATAGTCGATAACACAAATGATTAATTGACATCAAACTTTTCATTTATAAAATATCAAAGAATTAGACAAAAACAAATAAATTATCCGAAAAATTCATTACCGTCAATCCCGGCAAGAGGACAATAGAGCACGAAATTATTGAGATCCGACCCCAGAACAGGCAGCCTCCCCTCGCGGGCATACGATTTCAAGGCTGTATCAATTACAGCAGCAACAAGCTCCTCCTCGTTCACCACAAACCGGATCGGGCCAGCGCTCCCAAGCACCGTAATGCTGATGAGAAAACGGTTACCCTTCCCGACTTGATTCTTCTTCTGCTTGGAAAGCAACATCCTTCCGATTTTTTTCTCCAATTATTTTTTTCCTTTATTCGAAAAGCGAAAAATAAATACCCAAAAAGAGGAGGGATTAACGAATTCAAATAAAACTGACAAAAAGAAGAAGCCGAACTGCAAAATTGAATTGAAGATTTTTTGATTCAGGGGTCAAGGCCTTGGCAGCGGTAGTACCAGCCTTCCATACAGGAGCCGAAGCAGAAAGCGATGTCAACAGAAAACCCCCTTCTTGACGAAGAAGAAAAGGGGGATATCATTAATTGTATAACCGAGATTTCCACCATTCACAATGGAATTGAATTTGTTGGGATTTTGAGATAACAGGCCTGAAACAAGAAATCGATAAAATTTGAAAAAAGGGGCAGAAGAAGAAATGATGAAGATTGCTATGGCAAACAAATTGGTTCGGTTGAGAATGTAATGGACAAGAGATGCCTATACGCTATATATACGTGTATGTAATTCTCTAGGGTTAGGGTTCTCTCTCTACAAAATTATCTCAAAATGGGCTGGAAATTGGTTTTCTCGGGGGAATATTCTAGTGAATTTCCTAGACGCTTCCTTCGGTCCTTCCTCACCGGCCCATTTTATAGAGATTACAATTTGGTCCTACTATATTTGCAAAATTTGTCTTTTAGGTCCTTATGAAGTTGTGCTTTCATACAACGCACATAAGATAAGAATCACGTGTGATGAAAATTTTACGTAATATTTGGCCCCTTTTTCAAGGAATACCTTTATTCACAGTGTGAAAAGATAAAGCGATACTTAGTATGTTACTTATATTCTTATTGCCGTGATGAAAGTTTCATGTAACATTCGACCGATTTTTTTAGATTATAAATAGGTCTTACTCTTTTTACAAACTGTCTTTTAGGTCCTCATTCATCACGTGAAAGATGAAAGGGTACTTTCGTACAACATGCATAAGAATCACGCGTGATGAAAATTTAACGTAATATTCGGCCCTTTATTAAGATATTATAACTTGGTCATACCTTGTTGCAAAAAAATCTTTTTGGTCTTTATTCTCCACTGAAAAGGTGCATTTATACAACAAGCAAGAGAATTACGTGTGATGAAAGTTTTACGAAAATATTCGGCCCATTTTTTGAGATTATAATTTGGTCCTACTAGTTTTGCAAATTGTCTTTTATGTCCTTGATTATTCACCTCATGAACAAGATGAGGCAGTACTTTCGTACAAAACATGAGAAATGTGTGATGAGAATTTTACATAATTTTTTAAAATGGGACAATAATTAAAAAATATATTTCTCGGTTTTGATGATTTCGTTCAAGTCGTTATTCTTAGATGAAACTCCAACGTCTTATCTTCACGGCCAACTACCACTTCAATTACACGACTTTATGAAATCCATTTCCTAGGAAAATGACCATTTCCAAGTGATCTCGTATACATGAATTAAGCTAAATTAACATAATGCTTGACATAGGGGTTGACCGACCTATCACATTGCATGTGGGTCCCGACCTGAATTAAATAATGCCGACTTCCCCCATGTGTGTGTGTTGTGTCATCCCCTATATTCAGCATTATGTTTGTGTAGCAAAACTCCATATACATACCATGAGGATTGTTTTATATTGGCGTTTGTTTTGATTTTCGTAGTTATTCAAGCAAAATAATTTTAATATTATCTTGTGTGCCCTCTTCATGCTTCTTGCATACATTAATACTAGTTTAGACCAAAATATTTGAATTTTTTTTTCTTCATCTCGACTTCTGTTTATTAAAATAATAAATAATAAATAATAACAAGTTGGCAGTTAACAAATATAAAATGTAATATGTGTTTACATTGGGTCAAAATTGATAATTAAGTAATTAAAAAATAATTATAATAATATTTTTGTTTCTGGTGTGGTACAAACAAGACTTGGATATTCAAATGTGCTACACTTTTCATGCATATTGATATTCACTTATTTCATGTGCAAATGGACAGTCCACATTTAGAAAAGGGCAATACATAATTTTTAAGTTTTAAATTAATATAGTTAGCCCATGTTTGGTTCTAATACTAATCGTAAAATCAAAATTTGATATTTTGAAATGGAGAAGTTTGAATTAAAAATTCGCACGTCACAATTCAAACCATTTAAGTAGATTGACAAGTCATATGCATGCCCTCGTCGAAAACTATTTCAACCTTTGCCATGGACCCACGTCACATATATGCATTATCAAAGTTTCAATGCAATTTTTTTTTCCGTTGCGTCATAATTTAGGGTTAAAATGAACTTTTGACAAGGCTATGGCAATGATATTTGGTTGGTATATATTAAAGATGTCATTATTACGTCGTCGCTTAAATGTATTTCATTGATTTAGGGTCTCGATTTTACGTGAAAAAAAAATCTATTTTCTTCCAATAATCTTTATTTATAATTAAAAAAAAAAGGAGGTTTTCACTTTTAAGCAGAATTCCTACCGTTGCTACAGTAATGTAGCCGCAATCTTTGACCTCTTTCTCTCATAGTGGGCCCCAATGTTTTGAAAAAAAAGCTAAAAAAAAAATTGATTTTTATGTTAAAACAATTTGAAACAAACAACCCCTTAATACTAAGATCATGTTTGATTCTCATTTTTTTAATTATTTTCTTCAAATTAAATTTTAATCACATATTTTATGAGATTTATAACTTCTATCAATTTTTCAATCACACATTTCAACAGTTTTATCAAATATCTACTAAATTTTGAATTTTATCTAGACTAAACATGAGCTAATTATTATCGAAAACTTGAGCGTGGAATCCATCACGAACCTTACCCGTTGTAATCCCCTCTATGTGCCAACATCCTCGAGTTGGTGCCAAAAGATCTAGAGAGTCTTGAACAATTTTTCTCAAAATTTGACAATAGTTAAGTTTTTAATGAATATATCATTAGATTATTGATTATCGAACAAATGGTCAACAAACTATAATTTTTAAATTTTCAAAATTTTTTCCTACTTTTTATCACGCATTTTTCAAAGAAATCACTATTATAAAATTTATTTTTAAAAAATAGGGATTAAACAGAGCCAATGTAATATTCTATTTATTATTGCATCCATATGTTTAACCTACGAGCATGGTAGGGAAATTTACACAAATAGGCCAAGAAAAAAAAAAAAGGTATTTCAAAAATACTGTTCAACTTTTTGCATTCCAAAAATGCTGTATATTTTGCATATTTTCTAAATAAATTAAATTTCCATAAATATCACCAAAATTTCAACATCTCTTATTAACATCAAATCGGATCCAACCTCAAAATCGAAGAGTCTGTTCCGCAGAAATACAATTTTCCTTCCCTGTCTGCAACTCGAAGAATAAACCAACCAAAAAATATTTTGTTTCCGGATGTCAATGAAGTCTGTGATTTTTTATTTCAATAAAACATGAGTTTATTACATTGATATTGGAAATCGGTACCTTCGTCGCTCTTTTTAATCTTGGTATACGATTTTAGGAGTAATTCATGAAACCGCATTATAAAATTTTATCCAAAGATTCTTCACCGCAGTGTACTAGATCATGTAACATGTAAAACCCCAAAAAATTCTAAGTCTTTTAATTTATTTTTAACCAAAATTAAAAGGTAAATCAAAATACTGTAAATTATTTAGGGACTAAAATGATATCAGTTGAAGAGTTATAATTCATTTTAGGACCCAATTGAATGTACGTACAAAGTTAGGCCATGGACCGAAAATTTTGAAACCCTATCGACCTCTAGTTAAAATTACTAACCGAGCAACCATTTTTGAGGTAGCCGTGTGGTCTTTGTCACCTTCTATAGTTTTCGTCTAAAAATGTGTTGCGTAATACGCCATGAGACCTTCAAAATGGTATCAAAGACGTATATAAATGATCTAGAAATGAGCTCAGAAAACGAGTGCAAAGTCGGTATCTCGAACCTAAAAAGTTAGAAATTTTAAATCTTTCCATATTCTATGGTAGGAGCAGCCATTTTTGAACTAGTTGTACAACCTCTATGGTCTACCTTTCTCGTGACGAAAAATTTCTTGCAAAGTGTACATCATAACCTATCTTAATATCGTGTTGATCCAACCATTTAAAAGTTTAAATTATTAAAAATTTGTAGAAACTTGTAGTGGGGGGGGGGGGGGGGGGGG